GGTTCTTGCATGAGGCCCAATAAATCTTCTGCACCTGATTGGCAGCACCTGGTGGGACCAGAAGCTCAAAACAATAATCAATAACACAAAGTAAGCTATTTACAGAGATTTGACTAAATGTGAGCAACTCACATACTCAGGTCTACTGCTCATCCCTCAGATGCATGTTCCTTACAAATGTGGCTCATTAAAACAGAGATTAACAGGCTTTACAACGGTACAGTTTTATTGCCCAGTCCTGAGAGGAAGGATTTTATACACAGATCAATGTATTCTAGATAACTTCCTGGTTATCATGCTGTCTTACTGTATTGAATGAAATAATTATGATGATTTAAATGGGATAAAATATGTTCAAACAGTTGGTGCACAGATAAACCTTTGCTCCTGGAGTCTACATTCACACATCCAGCTGTGGCCATGTGACCAGCCCTGGCTCCTCCTGCCCATTGACCTGCAGTCCTCCTGCTGAATGAGTGCGGTCCGGATGACCTCACCGGGCTCAGAACCATTGTTCCGTCTCACTACAGAAGCATTATTTGCTGTGTAACTGGATCTTAATGTCTCCCTCCACTGATTCAGCGCTGATGTCACCTCAAACTGCCGCTGCCTCTCAGACTCTGTTTCCTGAAGAAAGAAACATTTTGTGGTGGGGCTGTGACATCATCGTTTTTACTGTTCAGTAGTTTGTGTTGGAAAGTTCAATCATAAATACTGGTGATTAAAATGATGAGTTTTTAAATGTTTACCTTCACCAGTTTAACTAGAGTTGCATCAAGAGACACTTAATGTTGATTTGAACCGACTCCAGGTGATCAGATGTAGATTTCAGCAATGATTGAATTGTTTTGTTAAATTTAGCCTGTGGATTTCGTTAAACACACGTTGTGTGTTCTTCCATGGTCATGGTGAAGGAAAGTGCAAACTGAGTCGGGGTGTTTTTGTTGTTGGACCAGCAGTGATCCCTGAACCTGATGGAGCATTTTAGGCCCACTTTAAGGATTACTTGTGTCCTGATTCCAGCAGGTGTCTGAGCATCACGAGCGTCGCCGGTGATGAGCTAACGTCTGAGAGATGATTTCATACAGGAAGTCTAAATAAGCCCAGGATGTTTCCCCCTGGGGAAGCACAGCAGGATGTCTCCCTCCTCTTCATCGTGTCTGTCTGCATCATTCATGTCCATCAGACTGGAGGCAGGAGGACAGAAAACTGAATAATCTTAGTGATGAAGAGGTTTCATGGAGGAAGTAACACAGACCTGTGTGGAAACAGGATCCAGAGCTTTAAATGTCAGCATTTTAAAAACTCAGCTGGTTTTTATCTCTCACTGTTGAAGACAAAGTGTTAATAATGTTCATTTGTGTCTGTAGGTCAGTAACATATCTCATGATTCCAACGAAACAAATCACAGGATGTACATCAGCACATGAAAAACTTTTAAAGCCATCCTCATTAAAAATGGCCGTCAGTACCAACATAACTTAGGAAACATTAACCATTAATCAGCCAAATCTACAGCTACTGAGATAAAGTTTGGTGTYGTAGMCTGTAACAACATGGATCTATATCCATATATTGATTTGAATGGTTCATGATTCAGTTATATCCAGGCAAAATGAAAATATTGATCTGTATCATCATCATATGTCCATCTAACAGTCATTGTGTTGGACTTATATTACATTACATTAATCACAGACYTGTGAATTGAACTGAATTAAAATCATATCATGACAGATTTGTGATGTTGAGAAATAGATTAAATGTATTTAGTGATCAGATCTGTGACTAAACTGTAACTGAACTCAGGTTAAACCTGGGTTTATTTTCTGTTAAAGCTTTTATCTGGTCTGTGCTGGACTGTGTGTTTGGAGGATGGTTCTGTTTGAATGAYGAGGAGGAAGGAGGTGCTGCAGACATGAAGGCAGAGTTTAGTATTCAGCCATGTAACCCCCCCCCCCCCAAGCCCCCCATTAATGCCTCTTTGGCTCATCAAAACCTACGACTCCTTTCAGCTTTAACAGAACAAATATTTACAGACAGAAAGACGATGGAATAAAGCAAGAGCTGGTTGTGTGAGTGTCTCCATGGTGATGTGTCTGCGCTGCCTGAAAATGGGGGTCCTTTATAGGTTGCCATGCCAACCCCTTCTGCTGCTGATTGGCTTAGAGCTGGTGCCAGGTCAGAGGTCAGCCAGGTGCCTGAACACTGTCATGATGGCTTTGTTGACTGAACTGAATCCTGCAGGTTCCCCTGCTTCTCTAGCTTTATGATCC